CCGTGTACAACTACGAAGGGTTACTTGACGATTTTTGAAGGTCACAGCCCCAGCGGCCAGGTCACAGACCAGACCTCCTGGATGCTGACCTGGTCAACCAGGCAGTGGAGAGAACTTACCTCCTGAGGTAGAGTGCCCTGGGGAGGTGTCCTGGCGAGGTGGTACTGGGGGAGTGGAACAGCGTCTTGGGCGGAGTGGGGCGAGGCTGAGGAGATTGTGACCCCGCCCACAGCCTCCTGGTCCCCTGAGGCTGGGAGAGAGGTGGGGTGTGAGCCCCAGCTCTCGTCCCATGCAGAAAGCCCCGGGGAGAGGCGGAGCGAGGGCGTAGAGACGCAGAAGGTGGCGAGTACACTCCTGCTGCCGCTGTTCCTGGTGTTGCTACTGATGTTCCTGTTGCTGCTGCTGATAACGGTGATGAAATTGTTGGCGCTGCTCCTGTTGATGTTACTACTGCTGCTGCTGCTGATGGCGGTGTTTTCCCATCTCGTTCTGAGGGAGAGAAGCATTCCATTATTATTTTCTTTACACATCTTAGTTGACAAAGACTAGTTATCCCAGCTCATTTCAGAGCCCTGATCTATTTCAGATGTACTTTTAAGAAATGCGAAGCACAAAAGAAAGAGTAGCAGAGGAGAACCCTGATGTAGTCACTATCACAGAGACAAGACTCTCAGATATAACAAATGCGGTAATCCGTAAGAGGCAAACATGAAGACTGGCACAAACACCTAGGTTGGCACACACAAGTCACCTAACACCAAGACTATCACACACAGCAGTCAGTCACTAAACACCCAGGTTGCCACACACAACAGTCACCTAACACCCAGGATGCCACACACAACAGTCTCCTAACACCCAGGCTGCCACACACAACAGCCACCTAACACCAGGCTGCCACACAACAGGCACCTAACACTCAGGTGCCTATTTCCTGCATGTAAAATGTAACCCCTTGTAAATACATAATAGGTTATCAGAAAACAGAGGCAACAGTTAGCAAAATAGTAAATAACACGATTGTAAACAATTCGAGGAATGCACAGGACTCGAATCATGGAGAGTCGATTTTGAAAGCAGCCAGCCAGTGCTCTAACACTACATAATGCTGGCCTAATATGATTCAATATGTATGCAAATATATGTTAAAAAAAGACGTGACACTGACCTTAGATCAACTGCAAGAAGAAATAGGGCAATGTAGGCACAGGAGTAGGAAGCACATGGTCACAACACACAGGACTGGGGCGCACCTGGTCACAACACACTGGAGTGGGAAGCACCTGGTCACGACATACTGGAGTGGGAAGCACCTGGTCACAACACACAGGACTGGGACGCACCTGGTCACAACACACTGGAGTGGGAAGCACTTGGTCACAACACACGAGTGGGAAGCACCTGGTCACAACACAGGGTGGGACGCACCTGGTCACAACACACGAGTGGGAAGCACCTGGTCACAACACACTAGCGTCGGAAGCACCTAGTTAAAACATAGTGGAGTGGGAAGCACATGGTCACAACACACAGGACTGCAACGCACCTGGTCACAACACCGGAGTGGGACGAACCTGGCCACCAATACACAGAAGTTAGACGCACCTGGCCACTAACACAGAAGTGGGACACACATGTCCACTAACACAGGAGTGGGACACATCCGTCCACTAACACAGGAATGGGACGCACCTGGTCACTAACACAGTACTGGCTCGTACCTGGTCACCAGCACAGGACTTGGAGGAGGCATTTCGTTACTAACTAGTGGTCAGAATGAGGTACTCACTAAGAGAGTGTAGCATGTGGCCCTCGATACCGCTGGTGAAGTGTGTGGGTGACCCAGTGCCCCGCCCGAACTCTTTCATATGCTCTGTGGGCGTGAGTAGAGTAGTGGGCGTGGGTGTACGGGGCTCACTGCCAGCCTCACTCTGTGTGATCTGCCAAAGGTGACAATCTCTTAACATAATCTGCACCTTCAACACTGAAATGTTATTACCTGATATATGAAAGTATATTAACTTCGGTCAAGAATATTGTCTGGAGGCACTGTGTAGTAGACGGTGTTAGCCTACAGGTGTGGTTCACGGTTTGTCTGACTAGACTGTCTTACACCACATAGTGTATGATAAGGCTAGACTACATAGTGTAGGGCGTAGTGCTAGACTACACAGTGTGGAACACGGTGTTAGGATACAGTGTGTGGTACATGAAGATAGATTATTATTATTATAATCATGGGGTAGCGCTAAACCCGTAGGTTTATACAGCGCCTGTAGGGGGGGGGATGGAAGGTATTCAGACTCAATTCAGGGAACTGGAGCACAGATCCAGTTCCCTAGATCAAGAGAGGACATGGTGTTAGAGAACATGGTGTTTGACACACGGTGTGTTAGACTGGTATAGTGTTAAACTAGTGGTACATGGTGTGTTAGACTGGTATAGTGTTAAACTAGTGGTACATGGTGTGTTAGACTGGTATAGTGTTAAACTAGTGGTACATGGTGTGTTAGACTGGTATAGTGTTAAACTAGTGGTACATGGTGTGTTAGACTGGTATAGTGTTAAACTAGTGGTACATGGTGTGTTAGACTGGTATAGTGTTAAACTAGTGGTACATGGTGTGTTAGACTGGTATAGTGTTAAACTAGTGGTACATGGTGTGTTAGACTGGTATAGTGTTAAACTAGTGGTACATGGTGTGTTAGACTGGTATAGTGTTAAACTAGTGGTACATGGTGTGTTAGACTGGTATAGTGTTAAACTAGTGGTACATGGTGTGTTAGACTGGTATAGTGTTAAACTAGTGGTACATGGTGTGTTAGACTGGTATAGTGTTAAAATAGTGGTACATGGTGTGTTAGACTAGTATAGTGTTAAACTAGTGGTACATGGTGTGTTAGACTGGTATAGTGTTAAACTAGTGGTACCGGTGTTTTAAACTAGTGGTACACGGTGTTTTAAACTAGTGGTACACGGTGTTTTAAACTAGTGGTACACGGTGTTTTAAACTAGTGGTACACGGTGTTTTAAACTAGTGGTACACGGTGTTTTAAACTAGTGGTACACGGTGTTTTAAACTAGTGGTACACGGTGTTTTAAACTAGTGGTACACGGTGTTTTAAACTAGTGGTACACGGTGTTTTAAACTAGTGGTGCACGGTGTTTTAAACTAGTGCTACCGGTGTTTTAAACTAGTGGTACCGGTGTTTTAAACTAGTGGAACCGGTGTTTTAAACTAGTGGTACCGGTGTTTTAAACTAGTGTTGCACGGTGTTTTAAAGTGGTACACGGTGTTTTAAACTAGTGGTACACGGTGTTTTAAACTAGTGGTACCGGTGTTTTAAACTAGTGGAACCGGTGTTTTAAACTAGTGGTACACGGTGTTTTAAACTAGTGGTACACGGTGTTTTAAACTAGTGGTACACGGTGTTTTAAACTAGTGGTGCACGGTGTTTTAAACTAGTGGAACCGGTGTTTTAAACTAGTGGTGCACGGTGTTTTAAATTAGTGGAACCGGTGTTTTAAACTAGCGGTACACGGTGTTTTAAACTAGTGGTACCGGTGTTTTAAACTAGTGGAACCGGTGTTTTAAACTAGTGGTACAGGTGTTTTAAACTAGTGGTGCACGGTGTTTTAAACTAGTGGTACACGGTGTTTTAAACTAGTGGTACCGGTGTTTTAAACTAGTGGTACCGGTGTTTTAAACTAGTGGTACACGGTGTTTTAAACTAGTGGTACCGGTGTTTTAAACTAGTGGAACCGGTGTTTTAAACTAGTGGTACCGGTGTTTTAAACTAGTGGTGCACGGTGTTTTAAACTAGTGGTACACGGTGTTTTAAACTAGTGATACACGGTGTTTTAAACTAGTGGTACCGGTGTTTTAAACTAGTGGAACCGGTCTTTTAAACTAGTGGTACACGGTGTTTTAAACTAGTGGAACCGGTGTTTTAAACTAGTGGTGCACGGTGTTTTAAACTAGTGGAACCGGTGTTTTAAACTAGTGGTGCACGGTGTTTTAAACTAGTGGAACAGGTGTTTTAAACTAGCGGTACACGGTGTTTTAAACTAGTGGTACCGGTGTTTTAAACTAGTGGAACCGGTGTTTTAAACTAGTGGTACAGGTGTTTTAAACTAGTGGTGCACGGTGTTTTAAACTAGTGGTACACGGTGTTTTAAACTAGTGGTACCGGTGTTTTAAACTAGTGGTACCGGTGTTTTAAACTAGTGGTACACGGTGTTTTAAACTAGTGGTGCACGGTGTTTTAAACTAGTGGTACACGGTGTTTTAAACCAGTGGTACACGGTGTTTTAAACGTGGTACACGGTGTTTTAAACTAGTGGTACACGGTGTTTTTAAACTAGTGGTACACGGTGTTTTAAACTAGTGGTACACGGTGTTTTAAACTAGTGGTACCGGTGTTTTAAACTAGTGGAACCGGTGTTTTAAACTAGTGGTACCGGTGTTTTAAACTAGTGGTACACGGTGTTTTAAACTAGTGGTACACGGTGTTTTAAACTAGTGGTACACGGTGTTTTAAACTAGTGGAACCGGTGTTTTAAACTAGTGGAACCGGTGTTTTAAACTAGTGGTACCGGTGTTTTAAACTAGTGGTACACGGTGTTTTAAACTAGTGGTACACGGTGTTTTAAACTAGTGGTACACGGTGTTTTAAACTAGTGGTACACGGTGTTTTAAACTAGTGGAACCGGTGTTTTAAACTAGTGGTACACGGTGTTTTAAACTAGTGGTACACGGTGTTTTAAACTAGTGGTACACGGTGTTTTAAACTAGTGGTACCGGTGTTTTAAACTAGTGGAACCGGTGTTTTAAACTAGTGGTACCGGTGTTTTAAACTAGTGGTACACGGTGTTTTAAACTAGTGGTACACGGTGTTTTAAACTAGTGGTACACGGTGTTTTAAACTAGTGGTACACGGTGTTTTAAACTAGTGGTACACGGTGTTTTAAACTAGTGGAACCGGTGTTTTAAACTAGTGGCACACGGTGTTTTAAACTAGTGGTACACGGTTGTTTTAAACTAGTAGTACACGGTGTTTTAAACTAATGGTACACGGTGTTTTAAATTAGTGGTACCGGTGTTTTAAACTAGTGGTACACGGTGTTTTAAACTAGTGGTGCACGGTGTTTTAAACTAGTGGCACACAGTGTTCTAAACTAGTGGTACACAGTGTTCTAAACTAGTGGTGCACGGTGTTTTAAACTAGTGGTACACGGTGTTTTAAACTAGTGGTACCGGTGTTTTAAACTATTGGTACACGGTGTTTTAAACTAGTGGTACACGGTGTTTTAAACTAGTGGTACACGGTGTTTTAAACTAGTGGTACACGGTGTTTTAAACTAGTGGTACACAGTGTTTTAAACTAGTGGTGCACGGTGTTTTAAACTAGTGGTACCGGTGTTTTAAACTAGTGGTACACGGTGTTTTAAACTAGTGGTACACGGTGTTTTAAACTAGTGGTACACGGTGTTTTAAACTAGTGGTACACAGTGTTTTAAACTAGTGGTACACAGTGTTTTAAACTAGTGGTACACGGTGTGGACAATGTGGTACACGGTGTGGACAATGTTGTACACGGTGTGGACAATGTTGTACACGGCGTGGACAATGTTGTACACGGTGTGGACAATGTTGTACACGGTGTGGACAATATTGTACACGGTGTGGACAATGTTGTACACTGTGTGGACAATGTGGTACACGGTGTGGACAATGTTGTACACGGTGTGGACAATGTTGTACACGGCGTGGACAATGTTGTACACGGTGTGGACAATGTTGTACACGGTGTGGACAATATTGTACACGGTGTGGACAATGTTGTACACTGTGTGGACAATGTGGTACACGGTGTGGACAATGTGGTACACGGTGTGGACAATGTGGTACACGGTGTGGACAATGTGGTACACGGTGTGGACAATGTGGTACACGGTGTGGACAATGTTGTACACGGTGTGGACAATGTGGTACACGGTGTGGACAATGTTGTACACGGTGTGGACAATGGTCTAACACGGTGTACAAGGCTACACAATGTGTTGTCACGAAGTGTTGCGACGTCACACAAAATTTGCATACAATGCAAAATGTAGATAAAAGACTCCAAATGTAAACTTATATAAAATATATTTAGTTAGATTAGGCTAAATTAAAGTGCGTTTATTATAATAAGGTTAGGTAAGTTTCCTAAGGTGCTTTTGTACAAAATCATTAATTTTTATACTAACATAGACGAAAAAATATATATCTTTAAATGTATAAGAGAAAATTTTAGAAAGGATTAAATTTTAAATGAGTTCTTCCTAATTGACAACATTCACATTAATGAACTTCGAAGACTGAGTGAAGAACAGAGAATCCTGCGTAAGGTGACATCAAAACATTCTCGTGTTTGTAGTCTCCCCAAGAGGCTTTCTTGAAGCAGGTTCTTCTGCTTGTGTATATGCCTTTCCAATAACCACTTCTGGGCAAGTGGAAAACCGCTTCATCAACGAGGATTTCCACTTACCCAATAATTACATCTGGTCCACAGAGCAGATGTATTAAATGAGCATTGTGGCAAGAATGCAGCCACTAGGAACTGATAAATACTTTGGTGGAAGAAACGTTTTCTTAAACTTACTTGACGTTTCAAATCACAGAACGGGTGGGACTCGAGCCTATGTCAAGTTAGTCCTAAAACTCAGACCTATCCATTCTCTGATTTGTTTGCAATTGTGTTATTTCGGTTTCTTGAGCCACTTAACGTTGTACAAGTGTTTTTTTTTCCATACATGTGTAGTTATTATACACCTTATTAAACACAGCCGAGTCTATGTATAACAGTAGCATGTAAACAGCTTATAGGCGCTCCAACACCAAATGTACCTGCCTACCATCTGTGCCTGACGCAGCTGTAATTGTCCCTGCTGCGTGGTTAGTGGGGGAGGGGTGAAGTAGCGTGATCAGGGGGAAGAGGTAGTATGTCAAGAGAATAGAAAGGAGTAATACCTTCAGTATTACTTACAGTGGGCATGACGAAGGCCATGGGATGGTCTGGTGTAGCATAGGGATCTGCCTTACGTTTGGAGACCAGGAAGGTGGCGGGGCTGGGGGACCCTGCCGCACCCCGCAGCCTCCTGCAACATGGGTTGGACAAGATATGAGGGAGAAGCGTCCAGATTTCAGAATGACCTGCCTATCATGGGCCAGTAAACCCGCTGCACTACTTTTCCATTCTTATATTCTTATTCTGATGCAGAGAAACCTCACACCGCACTTACACTATTGTTAATGTCTTACCTACACCAGAGGGCGAGACAGAGGGCAGTGCAGAAGAGCGTAGCAATGGTCAGCGAGATGCCCATCACCAGGCCGCCCACCATGGCGGGCGTCATGATAGTGTCCCCGCGGGCGGAGGTAGCCCACGGGGGTGATTCCGACCTCCGCAGGATCATGGGTCCCATGAACGATGTCCACAGTACTCCTGCAGGGATGAGAAGAACGGAAGACAACGTTCAGGTAGAACACAAGAACGGAAGACAACGTTCAGGTAGAACACAAGAACAGAAGACAACGTTCAGGTAGAACACAAGAACAGAAGACAACGTTCAGGTAGAACACAAGAACGGAAGACAACGTTCAGGTAGAACACAAGAACAGAAGACAACGTTCAGGTAGAACACAAGAACAGAAGACAACGTCCAGGTAGAACACAAGAACGGAAGACAACGTTCACTTAGAACACAGTATAATAATGTCCTCAAAACCACGGTGCACTTCACCAACTACAAGACCTAATTACCTCGTCCTTTGTACATAGTTCTAGAGTCCTCACATTATGTCCTTGTACTGACAAAGTCACTGGATGGCAAAATGTCTACAAATAGAGATACCCAGACGTTAAACATGTGTCTAATTCTTCACTTTATGCCACACATCAACACAGGTCAAGAAATGGTTGCAGGAGAAAAATATCAGCTATGATGCAACATAACAAGTTGAAGAATAAGTTACATGTGCAACAGTTAGGTATCTTTATTGTTGAGTGAAAACTTTCACCTATACTGTAGACTTCTTCAGTCGAATACAGAGACAGCTGGAGTAGTGGCGAGGTAAAGATGTCATCAGTCCAGCGACCTGGCAGAAATAGTTTTTAAAGTAGTCAGTCCCTCAGCCTGGAGAAGAGTTCAGCTCTAGTCTGGAACATGTTTAATGTGTTAAATTCATGTTAAGCGCTAAACCCATGTGGGACATTCAGTTCAAGAGGTGGTGGAGGCTTGATCCTCCACCTGCTGAGCGCGTGTATCAGAGTCTGGAACAATGAGAAACTGAGGCATGAGGATGGAGGTCTTCAAGACCCTCCACGACTTACCTTCGGAGGTGTGTAAGACTCCATTCTCATGCTTCAGTTGCTATGTATGTTGTATGTTAACAATACACCCGTTGTATGTAGGTATGAACCAGCTGTTGTACTTGTTGCATCTCAACATTATAAGTGTTGTGTATATGTATGAACCAACTGTTTTATACGTGAGAGATAGAGAGAGACAAGAGGAAAGAGAGAAGGAGAAGTGAGAGATAGAGAGGCAGGAGAGTGAGAGAGAGATGAAGGAAGTAAACGAAGTCTTCATGAATGAAGGACAGAGAGAGTAAGGTGTTAAGAGAGGTTGTAGGGCCGGCGGAAGTGTCCCACATTTTGTGTGTGTGGGGGGGGTTAGGTCACTGACCTCTGAGTCACACACACACACACACACACACACACACACACACACACACACACACACACACATGGCATCTGTCAAGGAAAAATGATAAAGCCACTGGATGGTGGTTTATAAATAAAAATACCCAGATGTCGCCCATGTGTCTAATTCTTCATTTTGTGGGTAGTGTATACTATTCATGTACATCTGTCAAGGAAGATAAGAGGGAAAAAGCAGGATGACCAGAGAAGGAGACATGGGAAAAGATAACGAAGAAACAGAGGAATGAAACAGGAAACAGAAGGCCTATTGTGGAAAGGGTTGAGCAAGAGAGGGGACGAGTACAGGATACCTCAGTGCCCCTTCAAAGATTCCAATACCCCTCAGAAATAAAATAAGAAAACGGCATGCCCAGAAAACAGTAAAGGTCAGAAGACTCACAGTGTGGTACTCAGGTGATGATAGACAACCATCAAGTGTGAAGAGTCGATGGAAAAAGTTGAGGAAGAAAACCCTGTATTAGTTAGTAGCTATTACGGAGATGAAATTCACAGATATCCCCGGAGGGTTACCAGTTAGTAGGTAAGGGAAGAACAAACAATGCAGGAGGAGTTGTTTTGATGGTCAGAAATCACGGGAGATTTGAGGAACTAGGAGAATTGGAAACAGGAGATTTCTTGGACTGCTGTATATAACAGCTACTATATGTCTTGGAGAGACAAAAGTAACAGTAGCATTGATGTACATTTCTCCACCAAACAACAGGAGACCACCGGTGGTCTGGTGGCTAAAACTCCCGCTTCACACATGGAGGGCCCGGGTTCGATTTCCGGCGGGTGGAAATTCCGACACGTTTCCTTACACCTATTGTCCTGTTCACCTAGCAGCAAATAGGTACCTGGGTGTTAGTCGACTGGTGTGGGTCGCATCCTGGGAGACAAGATTAAGGACTCCAATGGAAATAAGTTAGACAGTCCTCGATGACGCACTGACTTTCTTGGGTTATCCTGGGTGGCTAACCCTCCGGGGTTAAAAATCCGAACTAAATCTTATCTTGACAGTGATTCATATTGGAAACAGTGGCTAAGAGGGCAAGAACCTAACTAAACTCTTAGTACTAGGAAATTGAGACCACAATGAGACTGGCTGGGAAAACTGGGGCATCCCCAGGGAAGACCACAGACATGAAGAGTAATGAAGAACTTTCTGAGCCAATATGTGAAGGAAACAACAAGGGTGGGGGAAGGGGAGATGAGCCAGCGAGACTTGATTTGGTTTTCTCACAAAACGAATACAACATTGCGGGAATTATGGGGAAATAATAGGAGCCAGCTATTATACAGTACTAAGCTTTGAGTAGTTGGTACAAAGGAAAGTGGAAAAAGGGAGGAAGTAACAGAAAATGGAACTACAGAAGAGGCGAGTATGATAGAATAATAAGTTTTCGGAGAGAAGTGGAATGGAAAAGAGACCTGGAAGATAGGATTGTACAAGAAATGGTGGAGATATTAGAGCAAAAGTGCCAAGAGGCTAAGGAAAAATTCATACCAACCAGGAAGAAACGAAGCAGGAAACACAAAGCCCATGACTAAGCCAAGCATGCAAAGAGGCCAAGGGACGGAGCAAGAGGATTTGAAAGAAATATAGAGCCAATCAAAATGCTAGTAGCTAATAGGCTACTAGTAACGAGTAAGCAGGTATACGAAGTGAAGGTGAAAGTTTGCAAATGATACAGCATTAAGGGTCAAAACCGAATCAGAGTTAATCAACAACCATATAAGAAAAAAAGACGACTGTGAAGGATCCAGTGATAAGGTTGAGGAAGGATATATTACACAAATAACCCACACATACGAGAGAGATGATTTGTATATTGTTTCAGTCACGGTATTGTGCCTCTTTGTTCTTCGCTTAGGAAGGAGGAAGGAACCCTAACAGAGAATGACAGAGAAATATGAGAAATGCTTAGCAAAAGGTTAAAAACAAGTCTTCACAGAAGAAATTAGAGAACAACCGGAAGGCAAGGCACTGTAGTCCCAACAGATCAATGGGTGCTGGAGTATCAACACAACAAAAGAAGTGATGAGACTACGACATGAACTTGATGTAACACAAGCAACTGGACCAGACAACATATCTCCATGGGTGCAGAAAGAAGAGATAAAAACAACTATGTGACCCAATAGTAAAGGTATTCAACTAGTCTCTCCAATTAGGACAATCGCCAGAAAACTGGAAAATGGCAATTGTAGGCCCTGTCTAAAAAAGGAGGGCAGACAAGAAGCCCGAATGACATGTATACTTAAAAAGTTCTGGAGACAATGGTAAGGACAAGCATAATGGGACACTTGGAGAGAAGAGGAATTTGGGGGGATGGAAAATCCTGTATTATGAATTTGCTGGAATTCTATGAGAGTCACAGAGATAAAACAAGACAGAGTTGGGTGGACTGACTTTTCTTAGGCTGTAGATAAGAATTTGGTACAGTACCATTCCATAGATTAATTCAGAAAATAGAAGAACAGGCAGAGTTAAAAGGCAGAGCGCTCCAGTGAGTCAATTACTACATAAATATCAGTAGGCAGAGTGTAACAGTAAGGATTGAAACATCAGAATTTGAGAGAGTAACGAGTGGGTTTCTGCAAGATCGGTATTATGAACACTATTGTTCCTAATATACGTGAATAACCTCCCAGAGGGGATTGAGTCCTATGTCGCACTGTCTGCTGACGACGTAAAACTAATGAGAATAAGAGCAGGAGGGGACAGTGATAAACTCCAGAGACCTCAACAGACTGTAGATGTGGTTAAACAAGTGGTTTTTCGAATTTAATCCAAGCAAATGCAAGCTCATATGCTTTGGAGAAGGAGAGGGTAGACCAGACACTTGAGTACAGCAAGGCCTAGAGAGGATGCAACTATCAGAGAGTGAAAAGGACCTGGGAGTGAGTATAACGCTAAGCGCAATGCCAGAATTGCACTTTAACTGTATAACGGCAGCAGTATATTCAAAATTATCAATTCTCGGAACAGCTTTTAGAAACCTGAACAAAGAATTCTTTAGAACTCTGTATACGACTTATGTTAGGTCAGTCATTGAATAGGCAACTCCAGCATGCATCCCCCACACACCTGGTCAAGCATATGCAAAAGCTCGAAAAGGTCCAAAGGTTTGCCACCAGACTCAAGAAATCGTAATGACACGATTGCAAACGGGCAGACGGGCTGGAGTTTTGAGACTCTATGACCGCGGTGAAGCAATGTAAAAAGAGAGCAAATGAGAGAGTGGGTGAGATGTTATCAACAAATTTTGTTGAAAATAAGAAAAAGTTTTGGAGTGAGATTAACAAGTTAAGAAAGCCTAGAGAACAAATGGATTTGTCAGTTAAAAATAGGAGAGGAGAGTTATTAAATGGAGAGTTAGAGGTATTGGGAAGATGGAGGGAATATTTTGAGGAATTGTTAAATGTTGATGAAGATAGGGAAGCTGTGATTTCGTGTATAGGGCAAGGAGGAATAACATCTTGTAGGAGTGAGGAAGAGCCAGTTGTGAGTGTGGGGGAAGTTCGTGAGGCAGTAGGTAAAATGAAAGGGGGTAAGGCAGCCGGGATTGATGGGATAAAGATAGAAATGTTAAAAGCAGGTGGGGATATAGTTTTGGTACCTAGGGATTGGCAGAGAGCATGCATAGTTCCTTTGTATAAAGGCAAAGGGGATAAAAGAGAGTGCAAAAATTATAGGGGGATAAGTCTGTTGAGTGTACCTGGTAAAGTGTATGGTAGAGTTATAATTGAAAGAATTAAGAGTAAGACGGAGAATAGGATAGCAGATGAACAAGGAGGCTTTAGGAAAGGTAGGGGGTGTGTGGACCAGGTGTTTACAGTGAAACATATAAGTGAACAGTATTTAGATAAGGCTAAAGAGGTCTTTGTGGCATTTATGGATTTGGAAAAGGCGTATGACAGGGTGGATAGGTGGGGGCAAGTGGCAGATGTTGCAAGTGTATGGTGTAGGAGGTAGGTTACTGAAAGCAGTGAAGAGTTTTTACGAGGATAGTGAGGCTCAAGTTAGAGTATGTAGGAAAGAGGGAAATTTTTTCCCAGTAAAAGTAGGCCTTAGACAGGGATGTGGGGATGTCACCGTGGTTGTTTAATATATTTTTTGATGGGGTTGTAAGAGAAGTAAATGCGAGGGTCTTGGCAAGAGCGTGGAGTTAAAAGATAAAGAATCACACACAAAGTGGGAGTTGTCACAGCTGCTCTTTGCTGATGACACTGTGCTCTTGGGAGATTCTGAAGAGAAGTTGCAGAGATTGGTGGATGAATTTGGTAGGGTGTGCAAAAGAAGAAAATTAAAGGTGAATACAGGAAAGAGTAAGGTTATGAGGATAACAAAAAGATTAGGTGATGAAAGATTGAATATCAGATTGGAGGGAGAGAGTATGGAGGAGGTAAACGTATTCAGATATTTGGGAGTGGACGTGTCAGCGGATGGGTCTATGAAAGATGAGGTGAATCATAGAATTGATGAGGGAAAAAGAGTGAGTGGTGCACTTAGGAATCTGTGGAGACAAAGAACTTTGTCCTTGGAGGCAAAGAGGGGAATGTATGAGAGTATAGTTTTTACCAACGCTCTTGTATGGGTGTGAAGCGTGGGTGATGAATGTTGCAGCGGGGAGAAGGCTGGAGGCAGTGGAGATGTCATGTCTGAGGGCAATGTGTGGTGTGAATAAAAATGCAGAGAATTCGTAGTTTGGAAGTTAGGAGGAGGTGCGGGATTACCAAAACTGTTGTCCAGAGGGCTGAGGAAGGGTTGTTGAGGTGGTTCGGACATGTAGAGAGAATGGAGCGAAACAGAATGACTTCAAGAGTGTATCAGTCTGTAGTGGAAGGAAGGCGGGGTAGGGGTCGGCCTAGGAAGGGTTGGAGGGAGGGGGTAAAGGAGGTTTTGTGTGCGAGGGGCTTGACTTCCAGCAGGCATGCGTGAGCGTGTTTGATAGGAGTGAATGGAGACAAATGGTTTTTAATACTTGACGTGCTGTTGGAGTGTGAGCAAAGTAACATTTATGAAGGGATTCAGGGAAACCGGCAGGCCGGACTTGAGTCCTGGAGAGGGGAAGTACAGTGCCTGCACTCTGAAGGAGGGGTGTTAATGTTGCAGTTTAAAAACTGTAGTGTAAAGCACCCTTCTGGCAAGACAGTGATGGAGTGAATGATGGTGAAAGTTTTTCTTTTTCGGGCCACCCTGCCTTGGTGGGAGTCGGCCGGTGTGATAATAAATAATAAAATAATGACCGCGGGTTCAATCCCGGCCGGGGGTATGGTTTGTTTGCCACCAGACTAGTACTAGAACTGAGGGGAATGCACTGTGAAGGGTGGTTGAAGGAACTGAACCTGACAACCATAGCAGAGAGAAGAACAAGGAAAGACATGATCGCTTCGTTCAAAATCTTGAAATAACTTGACAGGGCAGATAGGGACAGACTGGTTAAATTATGAGAACAGGATCAAGGAGACACAGGTGGAAACTGAAGACAGATGAGTCACAGCGAGGTAAAGAAACATTTCCTTCAAGACAGTGGTGGAGACAAACTCATTATACAACTTGAAGAGTAGAGGACAGAAATCATTGATGCTGGGTAAAGTGATCTAAAAGGTGGGGCCAGGAGCTGGCTTTCGACCCCCCGCAAACACAGATCAATGAGCGCACACTAAACCATGGAGGGGGGAGGGAGGCAGGAGCAGTGCCTCGACCCCTACAACCACAAATAGGCAAGAACACACATACATAGGGTGATCAGGAAGTGGAATAACTTCTACGAAGATGCGGTGGATGAAGACTCTACACATAGTTTTAAGAATAGGTAGGATAGAGCCCACAAGGCTAGGAAAGAATGAATCTGGCAAGCAGCAAGTTGAAAGGCGGGCCAAGGAGTTAGGACTCGACCCCTGCAACCGCATATAGGTGAGTACATATTAGCTAAGTACAGTATACATACATACAGATTCAGCAAGTGTTGTTCTCACTCTCTGAAGAATGGGAGACAATCAGGTTTGATCCGAGAAAGAACAGGAGAGCTGCAAATCCTTGAATCAAGAGCCCTTTACAGGCATGAAGGTCCCTTACCTGCAGGACATCTCCTGCCGCTGCCACAGGAGTGGTACTTGTAGCTGCCCACGATACTCTAGCGCTGAGTTAGCTGTACACAAGGTAGAGAGTGAGAGAGAGAGGACAGCACCACTAGCCTGTGTGAGTGAAACATTATGTGGTGGATCGTGGAGGTGTATGAGTGAGTGTGTGTATGCAGGTGTGACACACACCTGTGATGTTCCCACTAACTCCACCCACCACCCCACGAACCCCCCAACCCCGTAATCACACCGGTCGATATGCTTTAAGAAGCTCGTGGCTCAAGTGGTAGAACATAGAATAGACCTGGGTTTGATTCCAGCATAAGTGAAAACACTGGATATTGTTTTCTTAAGCCTGCCGCCCCTGTTTACCTAGCAGTAAATAGGTACCTGGGCAGTAGCCCAGGTACCTGTTCACTGCTTGGGTTAAAGGACACCCACTGGAAATAAGCTAAACATCAGGCTTTTCTTGGATTATCTTCTTGGATTACTAATCTTTCGTGGCAATAATTCAAATAAAATCTTCTAAACTAAATAACTACACCTATTTTGGGTTATCCTATTTGTTACGTTTTCTATGTTAAAATGTAGATTAAGAAAACGCAGTGACTGCTCTGGTCGAGTGAGAAACTATGTTAAAATAGAGACAATCGCTATTTATGTGAAACACCTTTGCTAAAATAGCAAATAAAAGCTTCTGAGTTCCTATACATCTAGAGTATTATACAGAATAATGCATACTTAACATAACTTGAGGCAGAATAGCGGGGTTTGCAGTCTATCAACTACATGAGGGTCATTAAGGCTGCAGGTTACCTTTCCATTACCAGAAAAGAATACTATAATCCCTAAAATAGGAATTAAAGTAAACTATGAGCATATATACGTTGAGAGAAATACAACCCCCGGTGTATAAATCCTGTGATATATACATATATACTGAAGTTTGTTGCCTGTAAATCAGACTGCTTAATGCAAGGGCTTTAGATTTGTTACTTTAAAAAATATATATTAATGATATATTTTTGTCAATGCAATGTTCACCCTTTATATCTCTCCTAATAATTCATCCTTGGAATTAATCGCCGACTCGCGTAGTTAGTTTAATCTCCGTTTGTTTATTAACATTAGTTTTATTTGCGTGAATGGCTGACCTTGTGGTTATGTTACCCCTCCCTTCCTGACTAACCTTACTCCGCTCTCTCTGTTACACCTTCACTCTTAGGTACATCTCCTGCGTATTCCTTGTCTTCATTCTCCTCCTTCTCCTTCTCCTTCTCCTCCTCCTCCTCCTCCTCCTCCTCCTCCTCCTCCTCCTCCTCCTCCTCCTCCTCCTCCTCCTCCTCCTCCTCCATGTTGAAGATTGAGACACTTATGCAGCATATGGGAATCTTTATTCAGGAAACGTTTCGCCACACAGTGGCTTCATCAGTCCAATACAAAGAGGAAAGCGTAAGGAGAGGAGTATGAGGTAATCAGTCCCTCAGCCTTGAGTCGATGTGTTCAGTCCATCAATCTTGTAGAATGTACAGCATAGGGCCGTAGACGTGGCTTATATACTGTAGTGAGGTGAGGTGAAGCAGACGGAGGCGGGGTCATAGTGGTACCATCCACTAGTCGAAGTAGGTCTTCGTCCAAAGGTTGAACAAGTGTGGAAGAATTCTTTGTAACAAGATCCCATGATGCTGCAGTGTCTGACAGTTGTGATGAATGGTTTGAAAAACCGACAAGTTGAAGAGTGAGACACTTATGCAGCATATGGGAATCTTTATTCAGGAAACGTTTCGCCACACAGTGGCTTCATCAGTCCAATACAAAGAGGAAGGCGTAAGGAGAGGAGGAGTATGAGGTAATCAGTCCCTCAGCCTCAGTCCCTCATACTCCTCCTCTCCTTACGCCTTCCTCTTTGTATTGGACTGATGAAGCCACTGTGTGGCGAAACGTTTCCTGAATAAAGATTCCCATATGCTGCATAAGTGTCTCAATCTTCAACTTGTCGGTTTTTCAAACCATTCATCACAACTGTCAGACACTGCAGCATCATGGGATCTTGTTACAAAGAATTCTTCCACACTTGTTCAACCTTTGGACGAAGACCTACTTCGACTAGTGGATGGTACCACTATGACCCCGCCTCCGTCTGCTTCACCTCACCTCACTACAGTATATAAGCCACGTCTACGGCCCTATGCTGTACATTCTACAATATTGATGGACTGAACACATCGACTCAAGGCTTCCAGGGGTCACTGCAAGAGCAGTGACCCCTGGAAGCAACTACTAGCAACCTTCCTCCTCTTCTCTTTGTTCTCCTAATCTTTGTATTTCTATTTATCTTCCTCTTTCTCCTGTTTCTCCTCTTTCATTCATATATTTTCTCCAGTTTTGTTAGTGTTAAATACGTTATATATTTACTCGATGGGCCCATGATCAATCACAAGTCTTTTGTTCATCTTCGTCAGTTGTTGGGATCCTCTCCAAAATACGCTACTACGCGCCACAATCAGCCCTTCTCACACTATACTACTCACTCATCTATCCCTACCTCACCTATGCTATTTGTGCTTGGGGATCAACAGCAGCAACAAACCTAAAGCCAATAATAACCCAACAAAAACCCGCAGTAAGAATTATCAAGCAATCCAATACTAGGCAACACCTTCCCCCCACTCTTCTAAGATCTAAACTTACTCAACCGTACAGAACATCCATACTTACTACTGTGCAACCTACATTTATAAAACCATAAATTCCAATAATAACCCTGAACTAAAACACTTTCTTGATAGTTGTGACGTTCCCCATGTTCGTCTAAACCCATAAAAATTTTCTCGTATATTAAGGGGCCTAAAATCTGGAACTCCCTGCTTGAAAACTCTAGAACTGCAGACACAACCACTACTTTCCAAACTACCACCGGTGGCCTGGTGGCTAAAGCTCCCGCTTCACACACGGAGGGCCCGGGTTCGATTCCCGGCGGGTGGAAACATTTCGACACGTTTCCTTACACCTGTTGTCCTGTTCACCTAGCAGCAAATAGGTACCTGGGTGTTAGTCGACTGGTGTGGGTCGCATCCTGGGGGACAAGATTAAGGACCCCAATGGAAATAAGTTAGACAGTCCTCGATGACGCACTGACTTTCTTGGGTTAACCTGGGTGGCTAACCCTCCGGGGTTAAAAATCCGAACGAAATCTTATCTTATCTCCCTGACACACCCCACCGTCAGCTAGCTACGTGAAACCCACCTTTTCTCTTACTTGTATCATGCACACAAAAAACAAACTAGACCTACTTACGATATCTGTAACGCCCCGCAATTTACACTCACCCTCACCCAAATGACTGTAAACAAAATTTTGAATGAAGATATTGCCTAACAAATCTTGAACTAGTCATAAGTTTGCCTAAGATACTCCAATATAGGAGCTTTAATAGAAACTATGTATCATGCCAAGACAAAACCATTCTCATTGCTAAATTTACAAACTGTAATGTAGTTACCTAAATATCAATATGCTCCATAACTGTATCAATATAGTTTGAATTATTATTAGTCTGCCTGAAATGCCTAGTCATGCTAGGCATGATAGTGGCCCTCTTTGTAATTAGTATTTTATAATATGTAATCCACACATTGTAACCAATATTCCATAATATGTATTTGTAAGCACAGAGAAACAGAATCATCTAGCGGTGGCATACAGTCCTGGGCGGGCTGGTGATTGTTATGTTGCTATGATGCTTCTGACTTGTCAGGAGCGGGTTGGCCGGCTGACTCGATTATCTCGTTGGTGGTAATCATTTCACCCAGGCAGAATAATTCTAGCCAGCAGCTGGTTTATATTGCAGTGACCTCTAACTTCTTTCCTTGAGTGTTATTTGTGACGCTGTTGCTAACAGTTGCATATTGGACAACTTATTACTGCAGGCCTGCAACACAAGTACTGGTGAAGTTTATGACACTCAGCCAGAACTGTTCCTCTGGGCTCCAAAGATTAATCCGTCAGAGTCAGTGTGTGTTCCTCTGGGCTCTAAAGAATTTTACCATTGCCAATATATAATACAACAACCTGTGTGGCTACTCTTATATACATGAAATTTTACAAGGCTGAAGCATGAACTGTCTACCTGACACATTTATACCGCAGGATTGCTCTCTGGTCGTACTCCTTCACTCACGATGGCTCTCCTCTCATATTACGTGCACTCACTCACTGCCTTACTCACTGCCTCACTCATGACTCACAACACGCTACACCTGACAGCATATATATATATATATATATATATATATATATATATATATATATATATATATATATATATATATATATATATATAATGTATAATATATATATATATATATATATATATATATTATATATATATATATATATATATATATATATATATATATATATATATATATATATATATAAAATATATATATATATATATATATAAATGTATAATATATATATATATATATATATATATATATATATATATATATATATAATTAAATTATAATATATATATATATATATATATATATATATATATATATATATATATATATATATATATATATATATATATATATATATATATATATATATATATATATATAATTATATATATATATATAAATGTATAATATATATATATATATATATATATATATATATATATATATATATATATATATATATATATATATTATATATATATGTACAAGTAACTTTCTCCATTGATTCACCCCAAATAACTCCACCCATAGCATCCTCATCTCTTATTACCCTTCTCCACCGAGAGAGAGAGAGAGAGCCACACACCTGCACGACCAGGTCTACATGTGCATACTGAACAATCTATCCAGCAGCTTGAGGTGAGAGTGTAAGTCCAGTGTGAGGTGTGAGCTGGTATGTGTCATGGCGGCTCCTGCCACGGCTCCCACTGATGCGACGCCACACAACACTACGTACACACACTACGTACACACAACACTACGTACACACACTACGTACACACAACACTACGTACACACAACACTACGTACACACAACACTACGTACACACACACTGCAGAAAGAGCTTCTATAACCTTCAAGCGTTTTTCTTTGTGTAGAGCTTTATAAAGTTATAACTTGATCAAGGG